GTTATCGATGTATCAACTCTTGGCAGCACTGTTTTTTTCGTAGGTATTTTTGTTTACTTTTCGCTTTGGCGTACAGGACACGGTAGTGAGTTTTTGTCGTGGCGCTCAAAAGGTTAAAAGTTGACAATTTTAAAATCTTTAGAACTTATAATACAAAAATAAAACAACTTATATATTAGTTATTCAAGTTTTTATTTTTTTCTTTTGAAATTATTTATAAACTTTATCTAGCATTTGCGGCAATTGGTTTTTAATCTCACAATATCAAATTCTTTTAAGATTTTAATAACGTTACACCAGTTATGTTACAAACAAGTTATTTTGTGTTATCGATATATCAACTCTTGGCAGCACTGCTTTTTCGTAGGAATTTTTGTTTACTTTTCGCTTTGGCGTACAGGACACGGTAGTGAGTTTTTGGCGTGGCGCTCAAAAGGTTGATCCAACCCTTAGTCAAATAGTTGGCTATATGCACTTTACATGTTGTGTTTAAACCGACCAATAAAAACACTAAAGCGTCAGTAATTAGTCAGTTCATCCATGACGAAGGGACAATAAATTTTAATACCGGGCTTTCTCTCCCCTCTCAATTTTAACGCTGTCAGCTACCCTGGTCGTCCTTCGATGGTACTTTATGACTTATGTATGTAGTCAATAACCGTAGTACAGTCAAACATGTTCCAAAACTTTTACGTAGATAGCGATAGGCTTTTGATGGGTGTTAATTAAGTGTTAGGGCGAAACATCTTAACTGTGAGGAATTTTTGGTTCTGGGCGGTTTTTCAATGTTGCTTTTAAGTTACTATTAATTTTCTCTTTAAAAGTTCGCTTTCTTCAATTCCTATGTTTTCTAGGACCTGTTTGTTTTCTTTATCTATCAAAGATAACTCTGTCGGCGAATCTAGTATTTCTAGCAAACATATATATATATACAGGGTGTTAGTGTAAACACCGTTGTCCTTGAAACCAGTGGTTTGGTTTCACTTATAGAAAGTAATTTCAATGAAAAATAACAACATTTTTTTTTAGTCAAATCTCAATTTTTTCTTATAATTATTTCACCCTAGGCAAGTAGGGGATATACCTACAGAATTCACAATAAAAAACTCAATATATCGTAGGTAGCGGCAGCGATTCGCGGTCAAGGCCAATGTCACTGTGTCAATGTGTCAGTCCTTCGCTGCGTCGGTACGGAATGTACGTGTTAATTTGATTTAAAACCGCACCGCGCAGTGCCGACATTCTACGTCGCTTTAGGTTGTAGTTTTGGTGCGAGTGTATTTAACTTGTAATTATGTCCTATATAAACGTGCGGTGGAAATGTGCCTCTTCGTTCACTGAAAAACCTCTACTACCAACATGACGTTGCCCCTGCACATTTTCAGCTGCAAATCAGGGCTATGTTGGTTGAGGAGTTTCCTGGGCGATGAACCGACCTTACCCCGCTGGACTTTTATCTTTGGGGAGAAGTGAAGCGCCGAGTGTATGCAACTAAGTTCCGTAATACGTCCGAACTCAAAAGGCGAATTTTTAGTGTATTTAGAGAAATGACACTGTTGTGCTTCTAGCTTTTACGATTAATGTAAAAGCTGATCAAAATGGAATTCATTTACGAGGATTTTATTTAATAGGTAAGTGTAAATAACCAATCAATCAGGCTACACATCAAGCTGTACAAATCCTTTGTCTTAGCCTCGCTTTGTATGATCTTTCCGTACAATGAACGGTCAGTTTATGCTTCAAATGCCCTTTGCGTTCCAGGGCTGCGGTACGGTATACGGTAAATACGCCAAAAATCCTACCTAATGATTTACTATTTACTATTATTAATGTTTAATTTTCTTTGTTGTTAAATCTAACTTACGTTAATTTGGACTCGTCACGCAACACAAAGGGTAGGAATTTTTATCTGTCCTAAGCAAGTGTGAAAGTATGAACGAAAAGTTTCATGACAGGTTATGTGTACCATTGTGTTTATATTGAAATGTTGTGTAGGTAGCAAGGGCGGTGATCTTTACAGTGATTACGGCACTCGAGCGCATAGGGTATCCATGAATTTACGGACGGTGTCGGACAGAAACTTTTTTAATTTTGTAAAAGAAAATAACGTTTTTTTTTAAAAAAAAATCGGATAAATATTTTTATATTATAGCCAACCACCTATGGTTTCAGAGTTATACAATAATCTTTATGACTTTTAAACACATTTAAATAAAAATTTTAATTGTTCTAAGAACTGAACCGAACAAGATTCACCAATCTTAAGCTCACAAAACACTTTTCACTCTCACTTAAACGAACTTGTAAACTCCTTAGATTGCTACGAACTGTCAAAGTTGTTTAGCAAAGTGCAGTTTGCTAAAAAAAACCGGCATGGAGAAAGGGACAAACCATCACACTGCTCTGCCTCATTTCTATACAAGACGTATGCATAAATCTATCTTTTTCGTGTGCGAATGCGAAAGAAGGCGTCAATTTGTCTATAGGTTTCTCTGTCTACGATATATATATATATATATGTATATATATATATATATATATAGTGATCTGTGCTCTTTGAGTAGAGTTATCCTCTTAGTGGTCTGTGGTTAAGTTGTTCAAAACGGCTATAAATCAATGCCACTCTACAGATTATAAGCTATAAATTTCTAGCGCACTGTTAAATACGTGGGAGGCCGGCAAGCGCCTTAAGTCTTGCAGCACGCTACATTACACGTTGTTCGTTTCATAGACCGCGTGTTATATTATAAGAACATTATTTCGTAATTAGTCACATTTTAGATTAAAATAAAATAAAGCGGTAAAGATAACCAATGAACACTCTTTCAAACTTCTGAGTTGATATTTTGTGTTTCTATAATCGACGTAAACGTTAATGTAAATTAAAATCAAAGGCGTATTTTTTTATTTATTTAATTGGAAATCCCTAGGGGCCCCAGCAACCACTTACCATCAGGTTGACTGTGACCTATAAAAAATATATATTTACATTTAAAACATTAGTTAGGCTACTTTTGTAGCAGACAACCGTATCCTTCGATCACTTAACCCCTTGTGTGGCGACCGGCCAGATTCTGGCCGATGGTTAATTACGCGCGTCTGGCAAGCGACCAGATTCTGGCCGATCCGCGACTGCGTATTTGGCGGGTAAAATAACCAGCAACAATGATTTTTATCACACTTTTACTTATAGAAAATTATAAACCAAAGAAAGAGGATGCGATACAAAGCTACTAAAGTACTACAATGTGTAGAAATTTCGAATAAACAGCCTATGTAGCAGTCGCATGCGAACGTCACTTTCATGTGGTCACCCGTCCCGGTTTTTGTCCTTATTTTTATTCCTAAATCGAACAAATAGTGAAGTTAAGTGCTATTCAAACATAGAAGGGTTAATAACCAACAGTTTTTAATTCATAATTTAGGGATATGTATCCTTTTTATAAAAAAAATTCGAACATAAACGGTCGTTATACTTACTTACCTTACATTTATCTCTATTGTTGATTAAAAATACATTACATTCTTTTTAGAAATGAAACTTTGTCTAAATTAAGGACTTGAGCCATACTTAATGTTAAAATTATCGTACGCCACTTGACTTGCTCATTTCTCAAAATAAAACTAACAATATATGCTATTTTTTGTGCGACGCTTGGGTTGCCGTTCATGTGTTAAGATTGTAAAAAACTTTTGAGGTAAAAATATATAGGAATGTGTGGTTTTTTTGCTTTTTTTATTATAAATTAGTGTATATTGATGAAAATAAATTACATTTATTTTATAAAAGAATGATTTTTATGTTTAATTTTCACAAATTATGCACAAAATACTATTAAAAATTTGGTTTTCCAACTTTGAAATTGGCTTAATAAAATCTATTAAGTTGTATTCAACTAAGATATCTACAGAGTAATAGCAAATAATATAACAATTCATATGACATAAGTTTTATAAATAGCTTCCATACAATATTTTAGAGAAATTACTAATTTAATCGCCACGCGCCGATATCGCAAAATTACCTGCTAAGGCCCTAGCAGACGCGACGTATTTGCAAAATGGCCGGCCGGCAGACGAGGACGAATATACACTAACTTAATAACGCCTAACATTAAATTAGGTCGCGTGCGATGGAAAGCGTGCTACTAGATCAAATTTGCGTCACACGTCCATTCGTAACAGCGCTGCTGCTTGAACTAATTGTCGCTAGATATATTTTTTAAAATTTATTTTTATAAAGATTGTACATTATTTACTTTTTAAATTGTGCCAAACTGTAAGCCAGTTTGTCGGCAACGCAACAGTTTATCATTTGAAACTCCTATGTAACAATATCTGGTACTTATAAATATTTAAATTAACACATAAATAATTAAAGAAACATTCACCGCTATGGACACAACGACAGATAATGTTTCATCAAGATGCATTTGAATTGCGACTTAGTTATACTTTCGTCATATATATACGCCACCTCATTACACAAAGTACGAGTTATCCATTGCCTTGTACGCCGTCCAAAGTAATTTTCAGCCCTAGGTATGAGATATTTCCTTCTTTGTGTAATTTGGCGCTTCGGTGTTATATATGTCCTAGGTTTCTTAAATGTTACTATAACATGGTGTTCTAATATGATGATGGATTTTACTTTCATGTCTATGGGAATAACTATGTAAATTTTAAATAACATTTCATAATTTTTATCTAGAGCAGTTTTCGTTTTAGGATCAATTAATATCGTTAAGAATCTTATCTGTATAGATTAATAGCACCAAAGCGCCATAGCGCGATAGCGCCCTGGAGATAGCGCGCTATAATATGGCGCTATGCGCTATATTAACCACTAGTCTATGGGTAGGGGTCTATGGCTCTATGGTGTTTGCTACTTGCGCTTGCTAGTTGCTAATGCTACATGTGTTTATTTATCTATGGCTTGCGCTATTTGCCATTGCTTTGTGGGAATATTCTTATATTAACTTCTAAAGAATTCACAAGAAATGAAATCTAAAAAACGCCATCATTCTTCTTCAGAGGAATCCGATGAATCAAATGAAAGTGCAAAATCCAGCAGTTCATCTGATAGCGAAAGTGATGACTCTTCTGTGTCGGAGCACCGGTATAAGAAGAAAAGAAAACATGTCGTGTCCTCTGATTCTGTGAGTCAATCCGATGATCAAAAACGCTCTAAAAAACGCAAGCATAAGAAGAAAAAGAAAAAACATGGAAAAAAGAAAAGGCGTTCGGAATCTGTAGGACGTGGCTCTGTCGAAAATATTTCGTCTTTAAGTGAGGGAGAAATTACTTCAAAAAAGAAAAGAAAACATAAGCATAAGCATTCAAAGCGTGCTGCTGATTCTTCTGCAAGTGAAGGTGAGGTATTTGTTGACATGACATTTGACGTTAAATGATATTACTCGTTTGTTTTTGTATTGTCAGGGTTTCGCTCAAAAAAATAAAAGGAGTCTGTAATGCCATGAAACATATTAATATTTTTTATGGTTTTAAGCTATTTTGAAATTTGATGGCTAACTATTCCTCCAGTTGATTTGTTTTTGCTGTCGTGGTCTCAAACAGCAGTGAATGAAATAGGTTATATTGTATTATAGGCTTGCCCACCTTGCGTGTGTGGACGATGGGCCTTACATGTTACGATGAAGTAGGTGAATTTATGTCCTTTATGATAGGATAATTGTGGTTGCAAATTATTTATTGTACCTAATTTTCAATATTTTAAAAAAACAACATCATTGCTAGATTTGAATATCATTTCACTATTAAAAATCTTGAGTTTTGTGAGACATTCTCATTTTCAAATTATGATACTTACACTTACACTCTACACTTAGTCTCATATGAATAACGAATATGTAACTAAGTAAAAATATACCATTATTCTATTTTATTTATTATAACTTTTTCATTTTCTTTGATAAATCTTTAAAAAAAATACATTGGGTAGGAATAAGAATCAGGGTTACATGTAGGGTTGCCAGGTCTTAAAACCGAAAAGCTGGATAGACCAGCGAGCTTAGTTAGACATTTTTGTAAAAAGGCCAGAGGCCTTACTTTTTGTGTTAGTAAAAGACTTTTTTTAAAGTAAATAAATGCTATTTATCATTTACCATAAAATCTTCGTAAGTTTTAATGGAATAACAATTGAATAAATCAGTCTTCTTTATTATTAATCATTCAACAATAGCAATAGTATGTATGTAAGTACATGAAAAATGTAAAGAAATGGGCAAATTTAAAAAGCCTTACAAAGTCCGGACACCGTCTAATTTTGCCGGACAGACAATCAAAAAGCCTGACTGTGTCTAGCTTTATCTGGACTTATTATTTATTACAGTGGAAGAACATGAACCCCGTTTGCATAGTGTTGTGAAAGAGCGTCGAGTTTCCTCCGAAGAGGGAAGCCAACCATCTCGGACATACTACCAGTTAGTATATATTGACTATGTATTAATCTTTAACATTTGTGTTATGTCTGTATGTATACCGTAATATTTTTCCTTATTATCTATAGGAAAGAATTTAGACGCTCAGCATCGGTTGAAAATTATGAAAGAGAACGTGAAGTTCAGCGTTTTTACCGAGGGTCCAGTAAAGAGCATCGGCATCCTTATCCAGAGCAATATGGATATGAAAGGGAACGTAATGAGAGGTTAACAAACATTTTTATAGAATGTAATAATATGCCATGGTTTTAAATGGGTGTGTAAATATATGCAAAATACATTTTGCAGATTTGTACCATATCAAGATAAATATGATAAAAGCAGAGAAAGATATGTTCAAAGCATGCCTTATAATCCTAATGCTGAATATAACAGAAGATATAAGGAATTTGATGAATACAAAAGGTACAATGTTACAAAAAATATTTCCACTTTATTTTGCTAAGTATGTAGTATTTAAATATTGCAGTATTATTGTCATTTGTCATGCACAAAAATCCATAATTCAATCTCATAAAAATTTCCATAATTTAAAAAAATATATAATTTTGTCCTAAGTCATGTAACCAATAAACACAATATTTATTTTCATTATATTTTTCTGCATTTTTTTCACTTTTGTCTTTAAGTGGCCACTTTTCAACCAATAACAATGAAATATAAAAGATAATTAAAAGTAATTATGTTGTCATTAGTTGTCTCTTTGTGATTGTATTTTTTAGGCATGAGGTAACAATTACGTCAAATAATCTTAACTGTTGATAAATAGTAATTAAAATATTAAAAAAAAAGCTTCAAATACTATCAGATTAGGCTGAACATTTTATTGGAAATGTGAAAATGTATAGAGTATATTTTTTTTTTTTTTTATATTTTTTTTATACAATACAAGTAAGCTATAGAGCGCATGTTAGCAAGTATGAACAGTCTCGAAATTGCAAGGGCAATACTATTAGTCAAGATAAGACTGAAAAAAGAAAGTTATCTTGTAGAAATGTGCAGTAAGGAGCTGTAAATATGATTCATGGAAGCAAATTTAGAAGTATATTTATTTTCAGTAATGGTAAGTAACATTTTGATAAGTAAACACTGACTTTAACAAAATTACTTGAAAGTGTAAAAGGGCGTTGCGGGAGTCGCGCGACTGGGTTGAAGTGCCCCATGCTTTTTTCTAATTAGAACCAGTTCTGTACCATGTTGTACATAAATATTTTAAAATAACATGATTTCTTTTATAATAATATTATAATCATAGCATTGCAAATGAAGATCCTTTGAAACAGAAACTTTTTTATTTAATATAGGATAAAATAATACTTGATAGAATCAGGTGTTACTTTGCGGAAATCCATTATAATAAAGATATCAATATTTAATTTGCAACAATTCACTTATTAAATACAATGATGTGTCTTACCTAGATTGAAGAGCACCTCCCGCCCTCCCTCAATTGCGTGCACTAATCCCGGCACCACTAATCCCAGCACCACTACGCGTACGCGTAGAGTACGCGTTGCGAGCGTGAGATGTTAACGTCGGGTCCGTTATAAAAAATAATTTAAAATTGTAAAACAGTTGTAATTCTTACTTTCTTTTATCAAAAACTGCAAATAAACATCCAAAATTATAGTGACAGTGTTGTCTATATAAATGTGACAAATTTGCACATAAAAATAACAATTTAAAAAATAGTTTTTATTCTGCTGTAAGTTTTTAGTGAAAATAATAAGAACTAAACAAAAGTGTAAAAAAAACACTGAACATAGTGTAAAGTGACCATATACAGTGACAAAAACATTAGAATACACACAATATAATATTAGTGATTAACATTGACAGTGCAATAAATTTTTGCAGGATGAATCATAATAACGATCTCAGTGCATTTTAAATAACAGTAAGCAGCAAGTAGTCGACTATTTCAACCATTCATTCAAAAGTCACCATGGCGTGGCGGTATACGCCTAAAAACGCTCGTACCGCACAAGAAATCCCGGCATTAGGAGAACTTATTGTGTGTCTTGAAAATATAAAGTAATAGATTGACGATTATAATTTCGCTTAGTTAAATATTAAGATTATTAATGACGAAGTTTCCTAGAAGACCCATCGATTTCTCTTCATAATAAGATAAAGTAATTGATAATCAGTAAAGTAAAAAATAATTTCGTAATAATTCTAGTAAAAATTCTGAGTTAGAGAGCACATAAATAAACATGGAATCTAGCAGTAATATAACGTTGCGAAGAAAGTATGATACAAATGATAATTCTTATAACTCGTTACCCTTTCTGAATGAAAGTCCGTTGACATCAAATAACTCTTGTATAAAGTGTCTGCCAGACTTGTCGACATTAAATGACAACGAGGTAGCTCAATTAAAGGATACCATTAATGAGTTGAGATCACAGCTAGATAATGCACATAACAAAGTTCAAAATCTACTGACGGAAACCATAGCCTCCAAATAGCCTCCAGCCTTTTCCTGTTCGGGGCTCTACGGACCGCCTCAGCTACGTCATCCGACGTTATGATGACGGGGTCCATGGGCGTAATACTCGCACACTGACTCGCAACAACTTCCGTCCAAGGGCCCTCGCTATGGTTTACGGGCTCTGACCACAGGCCACGCCAAAATGCGACAGTGTTAGCCTGATCCGGTCCTGGGCCCGCTCCACATACCTCTGGTTGCTCCAATGATTTGTAGAGCCTCTTCTGATCACTCTGGAAGAGACGATTCTGGTTGAACCGCCTTGACCTCTCAGTAAATTGGCGAATCCGCTTCCCCCAAGCAGCAATCTTTTGCTTCAGGTCGTCTATGCGCTCCATTAGTTTCTGCGTGATATCCGGCTGGGACAAACTGATATTTGTCCCAGCAAACGCCATTCTAACGGTGCGCACAACCCTCGGTCTATTATTACCCGACCTGAAGCTTATCAGTCTGCCGATAAGGGCCCTTGCCTTTGCGATACAGTCCTCAATTCTTTTTCTCCAGGCTGGGATGGCGCTACTTTGTTTAGTAGCGCGTCCAGCCATGGGAAGTTTGGCGCCAATAATACGGCAAGCTGCCACTGCGGCGCCAAAAAGAACTGAGTCTGTCTCGCAATGGTCCCGGCTGGCTTCCAAATAGGTTACCAGCATTGGGTTAAGAGCGCTCAAGACAGCCCGATTTCGCTTGCTTAGGGGTATGCGGAGAAGTCGCGGTCGATTTTCGAGAGGCATGCTGCGCGTTTCCAAAATCGCCTCTTCCAATATACTCCTCATTTGCTCTAGTTCGTGGGAGACCATTTCATCATCGTCTGAATCAACCACAAATGGAAGATCCACGGCGGCTACTACGCGTGGCAGCTGGTCTGTCGCCTGAGGAGCCGCATCCCCAATAGAAGCCAATTCATTCGATGAGGGAATGGCCTCACGTCGTAGTCGTTCGAGCTAGGCATCATCTAATATTTTCGAGCGCATGATGTACCGAACTCGGTCTGCCAGGTTTTGTTCCGTGACGGGAATAGATGGCTCCAGCTCAGCAAAAAAGCAATGCATCCGAGCCCGATACGCTATCCCCGCAGTTTCTTCCCCTTTCGCCCTATAGTACGCCCGCAATGCGTTTGCGTTCATATCCCTTGTCCAACGCATGCGGCGCACTCCACCAGCGGCGGATGCCGCTTGCCGAGTCCGAGAGGACCCTGCCGACATCAAGCCGTCTGGTGGGGATGATGGATGCGGGGGGCTGCTAGGTGATCTTGCAGCTCCTTGCGCTCGGCTGGCGGCCCGCATGCTGCCGCATCCAGTGCCAGCTCCAGACGCGCCCCGGCGACCCCCAGGCAACTGCCCTATACGCTTTCTAATCATATCCATCATCCATTTTTGGGCGCCAATTAACGGGAGACGCCCAGGCCCGGCACCGTTTCAAACGGGCCTTTGCACCCTGAGTACTGCCGAAGCACGGCGCTCACACCTCTTGGCAAGGCGCTGACTCACTGCACCGACGTAGCAGTTTTGTCACTTAACTGTTTCGTCAGCGGGCGATGGGGTCGTCAATTCCCTACGCCTTATTATTATTTTTGGTTATTAATAGAGTAATCACATCTGGTTGGGCTGGATAAATATATAAAGGGAAAATAAATATACTTAAATATATATTTAATATACTAACATAAATAAATAAATAATACATAAATAAATAAAAGCCCAATCAGATGGAAGCCCTCGGCAGGGGAGACCAAACGGCCGAGGGTTAAGGGGAAATGGAAAGAAACCGGCGGACGATATCGAGGAGCACCGCCTTCTGCTCTGTACTGCCGGGTCTTGCCATTGCTCGTTGGCTAAGGATAGAGGGGTAAGTCCTTTATCACTAGAAATGACGTCATTATAAAATGGATCATCCGATCTCGCCAGGAAGTAATGACGGAGGCTGCACACTTCGCGATTATGCATGGTGAGCGCGCTCAGGAAGCCACGCCCACCATGCTTTCGCGGCAAGTACAGCCTCATTACCGACGATCCCGGATGATGCATCCTATGGGACGTCATGGTAGTGCGGACTTTTCTATCCAGGGCGTTAAGTTCAGTCTGACTCCACCTGAGTATGCCAAAGGTATACATAAGGACAGGCATGACCCAACCGTTATATGCGTGTGTCTTATTCACACCGGACAAAAGGCTATTAAGCACTTTGGTCAAGCGTGCATAAAACACGTCGCAAACTGACTTTCATACCAGCCTCATCGATACCGATGTTCTGTGACATACCCAGGTATCGGTATGTTTCAGCCTTGGAAAGGGCCCTTAAGTTGACGGGCATAGATAAGTCTATGCCCTCAGAGTTAGCAACCCTTCCTCTATCAACATGGAGGATCGCACACTTATCCGTCCCCAGCTCCATTCTAATAGAATTGCTAAATTCACAAGTGATGTTTAGCAATTCCATAAGATTAGAGCGACTGGAGGCGAATAACTTGAGGGTCATTCATATAGAAAAGTGACCTTTTTATATGGATGACCCATATAGAAAAGGTCACTTTTGTACCTCCTTTCCGAAGCTGAAATCCCCTCCCGGAGCCCTCTAGTAAAGTACTGAGAGGGTTCAAAGAGAGGCAGAACCAGATTGGACTCAGACAGTCGCCCTGGAATATACCCCTTCTTATCCTTATGCGGCTTTCCGCAGCCGTCATCCGCTCGCCTAGATGACACAGGATCGTACTCCACTGCCCCATACACTGCTCGAGGAAGTCTCGAACTGTACAGTCAATCTTGTACAGCTCGAGGACCCTCTTTAGCATATGGGGAGAGGAAGCTTTTTTCTATCCAGGCGGCGGAGAAGTTCCGACGGTTGCGTTTCACCACTTTGCCAATGACCGCGTCAATGAGAAGTGGTTCTTTGGTTCCACGACCGCCGCCCCGACATCCATTTTGAGCGCGCGACATCACCTGATTTGAGTCCAGGTGACGAGCGATTCTCGCACTCAAAATGGATGTTAGTGTCTTGTATATGGTCGGTAGACACGTGATGGGGCGGTATTTGCTCGGGTCTGTGGCACCCTGATCTTTAGGAACCAAATGAGTGATCCCAGTAGTGAAGAGGTTTGGGAGCGACTTCTGGTTGAGAGCCTCTTGAAATTGTCGGGCGAGCGCAGCGTAACACATCATGAACCCCTTCAGCCAGTAGTGATGCAGCCCGTCAAGCCCCGGACTTTTCCAGTTCGGGGCCCTACGGACCGCCTCAGCTACGTCATCCGGCGTTATGATGACGGGGTCCATGGGTGTAATACCCGCACACTGACTCGCCACAACTTCCGTCCAAGGGCCCTCGTTGTGGTTTACGGACTCTGACCACAGGCTGCGCCAGAATGCAACCGTGTCGGCCTGATTTGGTGCTGGGCCCGTTCCACTTACTATTGGTCGCTCCAATGATTTATAGAGCCTCTTCATATCACTCTGGAAGAGACGATTCTGGTTCAACCGTGTCGACCTCTCGGTATATCGCCGAATCTGCTTTCCCCAAGCAGCGATTCTTTGCTTCAGGTCGTCTATGCGCTCCGTCAATTTTTGCATTATATCCGGCTGGGACAAACTAACATTTGTCCCTGCAAACGCCATGCTGACGGTGCGCACAATCCTCGGCCTGGTATTGCGTGACCTGAAGCATATCAGTCTGCCGATGAGGGCCCTAGCCTTTGCGATACGTTCTTCAATTCTTCTTCTCCAGGCTGGGATAGCACTACTTTGTCCAGTAGCGCGTCCAGCCGTGGAAAGTTTGGCGCCTATAATACGGCAGACTGCCAGTGCGGCGCTAAAAAGAATTGAGTCCGTCTCGCAAAGGTCCCGGCTGGTTTCCAAATAGGTAACCAGCATTGGATTCATAGCCCTCACGACAGTCCGATTCCGCTTGCTTAGTGCTAAGCGGGGAAGTCGCGGTCGATTTTTGAGAGGCGTACTGCGCGTTTCCACAATCGCCTCTTCCAATGTACTCCTCATTTGCTCTAGTTCCAGTTCCTGGGCGACTGTTCCATCATCGTCTGAATCAACCACAACTGGCGTGTTCACGGCGGCATCCACATTTACCGTTTGCTCAGCAAGTTGTGGCGCCGCATCCTCAGCCGCAGCATTTTCACCCGATGAAGGAACAGCCTCACTTCGTAGCCGTTCGAGTTCGGTAACATCAAATGTATTTGAGCGCAAGATGTACCGAACTCGGTCTGCCAGGTTTTGCTCGGTGACGGTTACAGATGGCTCCAGCTCAGCAAAAAGTCGATGCATCCTTGCCCGATACGCAAAACCTCCAGTTTCTCCCCCTTTCGCCCTAAAATACGCCCGCAATGCGTTGCTGTTCATCTGGGTTGTCCAACGCATGCGGCGTACTCCACCAGTGGCGGGTGCCGATTGTTGGGCCCGCGAAGACCCTGCCGACACCAAGCCAGCTGGTGGGGATGATGGATGCGAGGGGCTGCTGAGTGGTCGTGCATCACCTCGCGCTCGGCTGGCGGTTCGCATGCTGTCGCGTCCAGCGCCAGCTCCAGACGCGCCCTGGCGACCTCCAGGCAGCGGTCCTTTGCGCGTTCTATTTAATTCCATCATCTATTTTTAGGGCGTCATTTAGCGGGAGACGCCCAGACCCGGCGCCGTTTCATGGTGAGGCCATGTGCACAAGTGGGCCTTTGCACCTTCAATTTTTGCCGAGGCACGGCACTAACACCTCTTGGCAAGGTGCTGACTGACTGCGCTGACGTAGCGGTTTTGTCACATAACCGTTACGTCAGCACAGCCGTTACGTTATTATTATTATTGTGGGTTATCCATTAACGCTCCTTTTAGGGTTTTAAGATGTGGCATCGGCTTTATTATTATTATTATTATTACTCCCGGCACCACTACTCCCAATACCACTATTCCAGGAAAGACACACCATCGACGATAATACGACACGTGTTTCGCCTCTACACGAGGCATCCTCAGGTGATGTAGACTCTACGGCGGCTAACCGCTAAGTCTTAGCGGTTAGCCGCCGTAGTGGTGTTGGGATTAGTGGTGACGGGATTAGTGCACGCAATTGAGGGAGGGTGGGAGGTGCTCTTCAATCTAGGTAAGACACACACAAGGTATTTAATAAGCGGATTGTTGCAAATTAAATATTGATATCTTTAAAATAATACTTATCGAAAGTCACGCTTTTGTTTAATTTACCACTGGTTTGGAAAACACAATTATATAATAAGGTAACTTTTTTAATCATTGACAAAACGGAGTGGAATTATAAGTTCAGTGTGTGTCCGTGTGTCTGTATGTGGCATTGTAACGCGCAAACAGACAAACCAATTGTGATTTAGTTGTTTTTGGTTAGAAGGTGTTTGGATCAAGAGTGTTCTTAACTAGATTCAAGAAAATCTGTTCAGCCATTTGAAGATCATCAGCGCTTTGAATAAAACTAAATTTACGAATTCTATCGCGTTTATTTAACTGATTTTACTTACTTTTAATCCCCTACGTTTCGGGGGCTTTACAGCACCCATGGTCACGGGGGAACTGAGATGTTTGACGTCCCAATGTCATTGTTAGCCCGGCTACCTTCAGTTTCTGAATATTAATTTTTGGTCCGATTTACGCAATACGAACTTACAGTATCTTGAATGCTTGGGTTTGGGTTTCATTTTGTTAATTATAGGATCCCAAGCAGATGGCAGCACCCAACCATCTTCTCTATTGAAATTAGGATGTTTTTTAATTTCAATAGCCTCACGTATCATCCTTGGTAGGAATCGGTGTTCTTTTGCGAGGATTTGTGGTTTATCAAATCTGATGTATTGGTTGGGACGATCTTGAACATGCTCACAGACTGCAGACTTCCCGGAGCGTCGGTGCTTCACGTCAGCTATATGTTCTTTCACGCGGTTTTTTATGGATCTTTTTGTTTGACCTACGTAAGAGAGACCACATTCACAATCTAACTTGTACACTCCTGCATCTTGTAGAGGGATATTACACTTGACGGATGGTAAAAATTGACTAATCTTCTTCGGCGGCTTGTGGTATGTTTTAATGGAAGCTCGCTTCAAGATGTAGCCAACCTTGTCTGTGACTCCTCTGACGTATGGTAGTACAGTAGGCACACGCTCGACTGTGGCCGGCTTCACTCGGTCACTGTGACGTAGGCGCGGGATCCGAAGCTTGTTGTCTTGCAACACTTGCTTGACATGCTGAAGCTCGGCGGCCAGATGTTTTTTGTCACAGATCCCTCGTGCTCTCTGTAACAAATCTTAAATCAGGCAAGTAAAAAATTGTTACGAACGGTGATCAGCATTTAAGAAATCATTATCATCAGCTCTTTTTGTTGCGGTGGTTTATAAATGTTTTAAGTTATTTAGGAATAGTAATTAAATTACATTTTTGTGTTTGATTAATTAAACATCGTTTTATAAATTCATACCTATGTTTTATTGATCTGCTAAAACCTACTTTATTAATTACCTACCTACCTAATATTTATTAAATACCTAATTAAACTAATAACTAAGTACAATAACTCATAGTCGTCTATCACGACGCATCACTATTACATAATTATACTTACGCTTGGCATAATGGGCAATGAGTGATACGCGCGCTCTATAGCTTGCTTATGTATACTTTAAGGTGAAAGTTTAACATGTTACAGAAGTTCATTAAAAAAGGAAAAACAGTTGAAATGAAAATCTACTTTTTAAATCACAAATGATGCATATATGTTTATACCTTTATATCTTTCTTACTGGAACACAGCTCATTCTATTTTATTGTGGTGACATTGGCACTGCGATTTGAACTTGGCTTGCTTTATTATACGCATTATAGAGAGCATTATAATTTTATTTAATATACTAGATGTATTCACCATTTGTACCAATTTATTATATTATACTGTTAATAGATTAAATCGGTCTATGAGGTAGCCGTAACTTGTGTGAAGTTTGTTGTAGATTGCAATGGCTTTCGTGTTAAATAATTTCATAGAAATAGATAACCTATAAATATGTTTTTCTTTTATTAGGAATCCGAAATACGACGAACGTCGATTCGAAGAGAATTACAACAGAAGGCAAAGAGAAGATGCATATCATTCAAGAGAAGATCCAAGAAGTAAGATATTATTTGTTGAATTTATTAATTTCTTTTTAGGTTATTTTAAAATGGGTACCTTATTATAACCGCAAATATTTTTAGGTTATAACCGTTACAATCAATACGATGAAAAGGCACCTAAGCGACGCGAAATGGCCGACGGCAGAGATTATCGAGAAAGGTAATTAATCACTGTTATTAATTAAGGACTGACTTTTCAATTGTTAGATAAATAAAAAAGTGATGGAACAATTTTTGTTCATACTAGTAGAGGTCGCCTAGTGGTCGTAAATTAGACCGTAATTTATTTAATATTGAAGCAAGATGTATTTGATTTTCAGCTGCTCATACTTATATCTTTATATTTATATATATATGTATGTAAAAGCTGCGGAAAACAGCTATGGCATGTGCCAAATCGATTGAGAAAAACGGACAATGACCTTTCGGTCGTTTAACCAGGGGTTACAAAGCTTCAATATATAGGCACATTTTATATGTAGTACTTTCTTTATTTGTAATGATTTTTTTTTATAATTTTTTATAATGATTGATATAATATATATTTATTAACTATTATTAAAAAGTTATGAAAAAGGTCGCTGTAGAAGAAAAATCATGTATTGTTGTAAAGTACTTTATTCATTTAACAACAAAAAGCATTAATTTATAACACATATAAAGATTCGAGTGATAAGTGATAACGATACCGAATAAGTACGTACTTATTCAAAGGATAAAACTTTATTTTCAATATTATATAGGAACTTTATTTTTATTCAGTGCACGCGGACCGGCCCAAAAAAGGTGACGCATCTCTGGCTACCATTGTCACGTTCCTTTTGAAGCGAACTGACGTAACTCGCGTTTTGTTTAATTTAAAGAGATGAATTTGCAAAAGCTCAATATGGTGATTACATTGTTTCAATTATTTTTTTTTAATATGAAACTGTTACGAAATTAATTTCTGCGTTACTTGCCATAAATTGAAATATAAAATATAACACATTTTTCGCGATGTACCGTAAGATTTTACGATGTTTATAGGAACCACAGACAATACTATTCAAGAAACAAAAAAAAACAAAACATATGTGCTGACCTAGAAGTGTGAATAATATAAATATTTAAATATTGTTATCACATCTAAATTGAGATTTTGTAAGTTACACCTTTTGACACTCGGCTCATATCTGAGGTCATTGTCATCATCAAGGACAACGGTGTTTACACTAACAACCTGTGTATATACAACATGTAACATAATTAACGCACTTTGAGAAAGTAGTTTGTTCAGAATCGTTTACTGAATCGATTCCTATCATTTTTAATATAGGTAATTTTTTATCCCAAAAATAATTAAAACTACGTAAATTACAGTCACACTAAATCTGTACAGCCAAAACAAACTGAAATGGATCGTAACTTAAGGCTATAAGACTTTTCAGAGTGCAGTTTTATTTGTATTATTACTAATTCTGTCATTTAATAAAAATAAAGGAAAATTAACTTTATTTCAAGCATGTTAAAGTCTTGTGTCTGTGCACATTAAAGACTGTGATCAGAACATTCTTCCGGAATTAGTATGACTAATTTGATAAATAATCAGTGCATAAAATGTTTAACTAAAAATTCAGTGTATGTATTATGATTATAACATATACTATTTGGGGTGTCTGAGGGTGTGCGTTAATTACGTTACATATTGTTATATATATATATATATATATATATATATATATATATATATATGTCACAAACATACAGTTCTCCTAATGGTATGTGGATGCTGTGGCCCATAGACATCTATATATCTATCCTTGCTTAAGAATGATCAAATGCGCCTGCGGCCCCCTGAGGACTACAATGGAATGCGTCGTTTCTAGAAAAAGGAGTCTCTAGTTCTATAAACTTACTAGAGCCTTCCTGGTCGAGCCACCATACACGTGTCATCATTTATTTTAATTACAATTATTAAAAATTTTTTTTAAGACGCGGTCCCCCTGATGTCGAGCGTTACCGTGACAGAGAATATACAGAAAAAAAGGAGAGATATCGTGAAGACAGATATTCAGTTGAAAGGTAAATGCATAATCATTCGAAATAGTCTATATTAACAGTTTTATTAAGTACTCCTTCTTTAATCAGTTATTTAAAACAAAATTTAATTTAATTCGTCCATAGTAATAGTAATATATTTGACACTGCTGCATGTGTGTTGACATCGAGCTGGCCAGTTTTTAACCGTGCCGTTAAATGACTGTATTTGTTTTTACAGTGACGTCTCTACAGAAAATTATAATGAGTTTGGTCAGAACATGTTGCTGTTGCAAAGATATCTAAATGTTTTCACATTGCACGATAATTGCTCTAGGCATGTGTGAAATTGTAAATTGTTATATTTCCTCCAGATAAATAAAGAATTGAAAATATGTAGTTTGAAACAATGATTTATTAGCGGTTTATGACTGATTAAATTATGTGGTTTAGCAACTTGTTAGAGTGCCCCTGTTATTTTACAAGTTTGAGTTAATCAAGGGAAAAGCAAGGAATTTAATTTATATGGGAAAAAACAATTACTGAACAAGTTCCGGTTGTGATACAACTGCAATTGATTATTAGAACGGATTTATGTCGACTTTCTTAGAAAAAGAAAATAGGACATTATTGAAATTTATTTCACGAAAGAAATTGCTTTGTCGGAAATTTTATGTCATAAATTTACCTTTTTTGAAGAAAGTAATTATAAAAGTTTAAATCCTAATCGATAAAGGATCTATACAAGAGTATATTTCATATCCTTTTAGCGGAAAGATGCAGAAGATTACTATTATGAAGATTTCACTGTTAAATTCAAGATTCGTTTTTAAAGTACTGTTATAATGGAGAAGAAAAAATATTTCAAAGAAAAGTTCATACCACATTGCAAATTGCCTTAAATACATTTTGAACTTCTTAACACTTGACTGCTTAAGTTCTGAACAGACTGATTAGATACTATAACTGCATAGTTATAGACCAAACTTCGAAAATGTCTGACTTAGACATTGAAGAATTGAAGCTGTCCATAGTGTCTATCCACCTCAAAGACACTCGAGATATCATTCAGAAGAAAAGGCATTGTGAATCTTTGGTACTTACACAGAGATAGGGAATGAAAAGAGAGATATAGAGAATACATAATATGAGTATGTCACGTTAAGATTGAGAAATCAGAAAATCTTTTGACATAAAAACACAAAAAAATAAATATTTTATTTATACTATGAAAAATGATAAATATGAATAAATTTTTGAGAACATTGCTGTAATTGAAGATTTACCTAATAAAGAAAAAATTAATAATAAGGAGTACAGAAACAATGACTAAAACTGAAAAATCCACGATCGGATGAGTTTTATTAGGTAACACCATGACATCATCGCTTATTGCCAAGTATAAAGCTATGGTAAGTCTATGATATAGGAGTGTCAAAGTAACAAGCTACGTGTTGAAGATCATTTCGATGAATTAGTTGTTACATGTTTTAGTTAAAATTATTAAATCAGGTATTAATTATGTCAGTTATTATAATTCGATAATTTTAACTCATATTTTGATGCGATTATCATGAGCAACACACCTCCGGTGAAGGGGAAGATTTTCTGTTACAATTTAAACATAATAATTTGACCAGTAATACATAGTCTATTTCTTTTACAAAATAATAAAAAAGTTGTTTGACTTTAAAATACAATTTCAAAAAATCAAATGCTTGTTGGATATTATGCCGATATAAAAAGCTCCATAACACCATAAATATCTCACGAGAAAGCTATTTACGTGCTTCCGTTTTATTTTGTGTTAGTGATTTTTTGTTGTTGTATGGTGACCTTGTTTGTTGTCGATTATAGGAACCGTGACTTCCGACGAGAACATCCTGCCAGAATCGAGAAACCACCATTGCCACCACCCAGGTATTTTTTAGTTATGTTCTGAATTGAATAAAACTATTATTTACGGATTTTATCGCGTTTAATTACTTTAATTTATTTTTATTATTATCCCGACGTTTCGGGTGCTTTACAGCGCCCATGGTCACGGGGGGGACTGAGATGTTTGACGTCCCAATGTCATAGTTAGTCCGGCTACCTTCAGTTTTTTAATATAAATTTTTGGTCCGATTTACGCAAAACGAGCTTATAGTATCATGAAGTCTTGCAGTGGTATGCTTGGGTTTGGGTTTAATTTTGTTGATTATAGGATCCCAAGCAGATGGCAGCACCCAACCATCTTCTCTATTGAAATTTGGATGTTTTTTAATTTCAATAGCCTCGCGTATCATCCTTGGTAGGAATCGGTGTTCTTTTGCGAGAATTTGTGGTTTATCAAATCTAATGTAATGGTGGGGACGATCTTGAACATGTTCGCAGACTGCAGACTTCCCGGAGCGTCGGTGCTTCACATCAGCTATATGTTCCTTCACGCGGGTTTTTATAGATCTCTTTGTTTGACCTATGTAAGAGAGACCACATTCACAATCTAGTTTGTACACACCTGCATCTTGTAGAGGAATATTACATTTGATGGATGGTAAAAATTGACTAATCTTCTTCAGCGGCTTGTAGTATGTCTTAATGGACGCTCGCTTCAAGATGTAGCCAATCTTGTCCGTGACTTCTCCAACATATGGTAGTAGAGCAGGTGCGCGCTCGACTGTTGCCGGCTTCACTCGTTCACTGTGACGTAGGCGCGGGACCCGAAGCTTGTTGTCTTGCAATACTTGCTTGACGTGCTGAAGCTCCGCGGCCAGATGTTTTCTGTCACAGATCCCTCGTGCTCTCTGAAACAAAGATTTACCCACGGTAGCTAACTGTGAAGGATGATGGTGAGATTCACCATTTAGATATCGGTTGGTATGGGTCTTTTTCCTATACACAGTGTGACCAATAGTGTTATCAGGATTTCGGATGACTAAAACATCTAGGAAAGCTAAAGAATTATTTGCCTCTAACTCCATTGTGAATTGTATTTTAGAGTTTATGGAGTTAAGGTGGTCTAAAAATGCAGTTACTTTGTCAGATGGTAAAATTGTGAAAGTGTCGTCTACGTACCGCTTGTAGAACCTTGGATTTACAGGAGCAGTAAGAAGGGCTTTCTCCTCAAAGTCCTCCATGAATATGTCGGCGACTATGGGAGACACAGGTGAGCCCATCGCCACACCATCTACTTGCTTGTAGAACTCCTCCTTCCACAATAGATAGCCAGATGTGAGGCAATGTTCAAGTAGTATTGCATATTCTTGAGGCATGTTATTTTCTTCTAGCTTCCTAGTTACAATTGAGATGCAGTCCACAATAGGTAGGCATGTAAATAGTGACTGAACATCAAAACTGACCATAGTTTCATTGTTAGCGAGATGTAGGTCTTTTATCTCACTCACAAAATGGTATGAATCCTTTGTGTGTGCTCTGGTATGTCCTCTCAGTGGTGATAGTATTTTTGCTAAGTATTGTGCCAGCTTATAAGTTGGTGAATCGATCTGGCTCACTATGGGACGTAGTGGAGCGTTTGGTTTGTGTATCTTCGGTAACCCATACAACCTCGGTGGTTTGGCACATGATGGTATTAGCGAATTCACGTCGAGATTTAATTTTTCGGAGTATTTCTTTATTAAATCGCTAGTTGTTTTAAGCGTGTTAGTTGTAGGGTCTGTTTTGACCTTTTTATATGTACTTTCGTCCGATAAAAGTTGTTGTATTTTAAAATTATATTCCGACGTGTCCATTACTACCGTAGCATTTCCTTTATCCGCGCCGAGAATCGTGAGTTCTGGTCTGTTCTGAATGCCTACGTTTTATTTTTCAAAATCTTTAAATAGTTCACTGACTTCGTCGCAGTGCCTACCCAGGAAAATGTATGCTAGCAGTTCTATATTCCTTTAACTCACTTGCATCTAAGATGCTTTTCTCTTACTGGTTCATTACTGGTTTTGAAATTAGGCTGTTTTTGCAATAATTATTTACCCACCTTTTTGAAACCATTTTTCATTTTCCTTGACGAGAGACCAGAATGCACGAGTTCCAGAAGGAAGGCGAACTAGTTTCTCGCTAATTCTGCCTATGTGCTCTGACTTTGCGTTGGCAATGACTCTTTTGAAGGACCTAGAGGCGGAATTATACTTCTTTTTTAGAGCGCTGGTGTTTACATCCCGGGACGCTGATGCGTCAGCCCAGGCTTGGTAGCACTCATGCTTATAGCATGATGCTATTTTACAGGAGCGACCAAACCATGGCTGAGATTTGTTTTTTTTCTTTTTTTTCCCTGATATCTTTGCATGATGAATAGTGAAATATTACAACACATTTAATGTATTTTGTAGAGACTATTCCAAGTCCAAGAGTCCAGTAGATCGCTACAGGGAAAAGAGTAGAAGATTGGAGAATAGAGAAGAGCGTGATGATCGCGGAAGGCCACCGAGGGAGACAAAAGACAGGGTGGAAAGGAGAGAGCGGAGTGGAGAGGAGAGGCGCGAGAGAGTGCGTAGAAGTGAGGAGCGTCCACGTGGGCCGAATAACGATTCTCGTCCTAGAGAGCGGAAGAGCAGGTATGTGCCGTATAAAAATTTTCTTGAGTTAAAACATTATTTTGGCACGGCATCTTTGTTATATTAGTAAACAGCTTTAAAAATTAAGTTACACACGGAAGAAGTTGTAAAAGTTCGCGGAATTAAAAATACTTAATAAATAATTTTGGATATTTTTAATATTTTTCGTAGCTAAGTATATAATATAACAGTACAATATATTATTGTTAATGGCGTTATTGCATTATTTAAGATAAAACAACGAAATTATCATTCAAAATTTCTTATATCTTCTATTCTTTTCTAAGCCGCCATATCTTTACTTTCAAAATGGGTCGAAATGGCCTTATTGGCTTAATTTTCGTCCGAAAAATTTGTTCCCCTCACCTTTTAAAAAATTTAGCTCAGTGTGCTCAAAAACCCGTTTTTGAGCACATTGAGCAATGACAGCATTGTCGGATAAAAAAATCTGAATTTTAAGCCAATTTTAATAATAAACATGTATATTAAATAACATTTTATATTCATCAATTACAGGGTGTTTTTGAATCGCTTCCGAAAATGAAGACAGACGATAATTCTAAGGATACCTTTGATGATGGGACGCAAATTAATTCGATCCCGATGAAGAAAAAAACATTTTTTTACAACGTTTATTTATCTTTATTCACGTTCTATCATGTTAGTACAGATAAATGAAACGATAATTTCTTAAAAGAAAAATCATGAAAATACTTAAACATAAAACCAGCAGTGGGGAACATCAAATACCTAACATCAGCTGATCACCTCTATCTTCCAGGCAGAAATTTTCGCCGTACTTCGGTGTGCTACTACACTACGTCAACCATATAATTTACATAAACTCTGATAGTCAAGCAGCACTGCTAGCGCTGAGGTCAAACTTAGTGAACTCGAAGCTAGTTGGAGACTGCGTGAACCGTTTAAAACGCCCTGGGATGTAACAACAGGGTCGTTTTAAGGTGGGTTCCGGGTCACGAGGGTATTGTAGGCAACGAATTTGCCGACAAACTTGCACGGGAGGGCTCAAAGTACACACAATTTGGACCTGAGCCATTTTGTGGAATCTCAAGAAGCCTAGCCCGATTGACCCTTGAAACTCTTTATCACAATAAATCACTTAAGATCTGGTCTGACACACCAGGCTTAAAACATTCTAAAACCTTAATCCGGGCTTTTGATCGTAAATTCGTCTCAGAAGCCCTGGGATTAAGTAAAAATAAATTGCGCATTCTGGCAAGAGCCCTAACTGGACACTAAGCAACTCAAGGATGTGTCGGTTCTGTTCCATAACGGAAGAAACGCCTCTACACATCCTAACTTATTGCGGGCTCTTAATGCGCAAACGTAATACTCATCTGGGACACTATCTACTCCGCCCAGAAGAAGTGAAATTGCTCACGGCTAAGCAACTCCTTCTATTGATTGAAGACATAGGGCTTAGCCGTGAACTATAGCCATAGCAGCGATCACAATAGATCTTCTAGGTCGCAGTGATACTGGTCTCTTTCCCTAGACCTGCATAGCTGCTCGCCCATAATAAAATAAAAAAACATCAGCTGGCTTAGGGGTCAATGTACGCGTGACGCCAAATAGTGCTCTGATCTAGATCTAGTGGCTCATGAGTAATTTATCTACTCAAGTGCGCGCGGCCCGTAGTCCGCGATCGTATTTAATACCTAATAATTTACAACATTTGTCCAAATACTAACTTATTATAATATTTAATTCATTTAATTATAATACTAACTTATTTACTTAACATACTATTTTGCCACTGTGCTAGTCTCCACCTAGCCATTCACAGGTTAAGTAAACCAAATACCTGGTTCGATTCCCCGCTTATGAAAAATGTAATTAAATTATTTAGTAGGTTTGTTTTTTATTCTGATGTATTCAGGTATGTACCTATTCAGATCAGTTCAGTACTAAGTAAAAAAAATACGTATGAAACAGCTTACCGATATAAATCCATAAATAAACCTGCCCATACGTTAATCAACCATCGGATTTGGTTCTCGGCTTACGCTTTTGCACCTTATGAACTCTCCAGTATGACACACTTTATAAAATTGTTAATTGTAAACTCGTAAAGCACGCTAAGCATTCCCGCGACCTTCTCCAAGCCACATTAACATGTCACGAGCATTATAAACGTATGCATAAGGCCGGTTTTAGAGCTCGACCGACCGTCGGTGCGTACGTTGGTCGCGCTTGCCTTTTGTATGAAAATTTACAAGTCGTTACAGTGCTCGACCGACCGTAAGCACGCGTATATTGCTACGCAATGCCTACGAGGACCATCGGTCGAGCGCGTCCGCATGCGTACGGTCGGTCGACCGACGCGCTATGGAAACATATTGACGCGTTAAGTGCTACACCGACCGTACGGATGCGTGTATCATCGTCAAGAAAATCGAACCTAAACTTTAATAATATTGTATGATTTTATAGGTATTGCGTAGTGTTAGTGATATAACTTTTTACGTGGTAGAGCCATGCTGCAGTTATATTAGTAGTATAGTTGTAGCACGAATGGGTCGGCTCGACCGGGGAAGGACCACGCCCTCACAGAATACCAGCGTAAAATAGTAGCTTAATGCTGTAATGAGTGTACAGAACTGGATACCCTTTTTACTGGAAACGAGGCATTCCATCTTAGTTCTCTAGGGTGACAACGCATCTGCATTTTGATTTGTAATCGAAGATAGATGTAGACGTCTATGAGCCGCAGCAACCACTTACCATCAGGTGGACTGTGTGCTCGTTTGTCACCCTATCCTATAAAAAAAATAACTAATTTTTATCAAACATGACATATGTCGACACCGAACGCCTCGCGGATGTTTTATGTCTTGTAATTTCACTGATAATTCATCAAAACTTTTGATTGATATTTTAAAGTAATTAATAATTCGCGCAATAATTAATATAAAGTAGTAAATTCCCGTTGAAGTGCTCTTTGGGCGACGATTGGGTGAACCTGATATCTACGTCTTCTGTTCCTTATACGTTTACGAACATAGTAAGCAGCAATTAAACAATTTGTAAACGCGTCCATTTCGTGTACGTGTTTGTGACTGTACCAGTCCGGCCAGTTTCGTTGCTCAGGAGAGCTCTGAACGCTACAAACTGACGATCGGTTATGACGTCAGGACCGATGGTACGCACCGACGGTTGGTCGAGCTCTAAAACCGGCCATAGTCATTATTAAAAAAAAAAAACAACAAGAAACACAAAACGTAACAACAAGTAATGACAAGTAATAACAGCAAAAATTTAATTAAAAAAAACGTTTGAACTATCTCTCGACGCGCACGTCACTTACTGTGGGACGGAAGCGGAACTGTCTTAAAAGCTAATTTCGGTTTGGCATCGACGCACATGTTGCAGCGTTACCAAATAGAAATTAACCTACTAAAATTTGACCTATTTGTCAAATTCCCCTCAATTTTATTTTAAGTATTGAAATAATTTTCAATTAATTTTATTAGATTTATTTTTTAACTAACATTTTTTTGTTTTTTACCGATTTTTTTTCACACTACATATTTTTGTAACAAGCATTTTACTCCATTGAGTATTTTTAATTCGTTTTTTGTTGCCATAAAAAAGGACACAGTAGCTGCATTTACTCTGCTGTTAAATAAAAAAATAAAGAAATGAAAAGCATTAAATGATACACAAAAGTTGCCAAAAAATCCGAAAATTAAATGTGGTGCAAGATGATAATGAAAAAAGAGAGTCATTCGATATGCCTAAGTAACCTACGAGGGTGGATTGAAAAGTACTCGGCCTAACACAGATCCATTCAATTCTAAAAATCAAATCTACCCACATTATTTAGTTCAGTTCAGACTAGTTCATTGTGTGAAGTTCGAAACGTGTGCGATAATTAGTTGTGATTTTATAAATTTATTAACAAAGTAATCGGACATAATTTCCGCGAATGGAGCAAATCGAGCAGCGTGCCGTCATTAAGTACCTCCATAAGAAGAGGCTATCATCAAAAGCCATCCATGATGACATGGTCAGTACATTAGGCGATTGTGCTCTGTCATATTCATCCGTCAAAAAATGGATAGCAGAATTTAAGCGTGGTAGAGAGAGTGTGAAAGATGAACCCCGCTCTGGAAGGCCTTCGACGTCAACTACTGGCGAAAATATTAAAAAAGTACTTGATTTAATAATGGGAGACCGCAGATTAAAAATTAGAGAGATAGCCGAGATTATAGGCATCTCTTATGAACGAACTCAAAACGTCATTGTCAACGAGTTGGGTTTCCACAAGGTGTCTGCGAGGTGGGTTCCGCGACTACTTTCAGTTGAACAAAAAAGGACGCGATTGACTATTTCACGCGACTGTTTGGAGTTATTTGAAGCCGATGCAGATGATTTTTTGAATCGTTTTGTTACTATGGACGAAACATGGGTTCATTACTGTACACCGGAAACAAAATAATAATCAAAACAGTGGAGAAGACCTGGTTCACCACCCCCTAAAAAAGGCTAAGTCGATTTTGTCGGCAAATAAGGTGATGGCTTCAGTATTCTGGGACTCGAAAGGTGTGATTATGATTGATTATCTTGAAAGGGGTCAGACTACAAACTCTGATTACTACTGCACCTTACTACGTCGTTTACGAGAGGAAATAAAAGAAAAACGTCGAGGAATGCTCAGAAGAAAAGTCCTGTTTCATCAAGATAACGCCCGTGTTCACACGTCAGTACAGTCAATGGCTGAAATTCACAACTGTGGCTTTGAACTGTTACCGCATCCACCGTATTCACCTGATCTGGCACCATCAGACTTCTTTCTGTTCCCTAACCTAAAAAAGCACTTGGGAGGTCAAAGATTTTCGACAAACGACGAGGTCAAAGCAGCTGTAGACGCATATTTTGATTCTAAGGAAGAATCAGTTTTTTTCAACGGTCTAAATGCTTGGAAGGGGAGGTGGCAAAAGTGTATTGAACTTGATGGTGATTATGTAGAAAAATAAAAATATAACTGATTTAGTATGTGTTTATTTTCTTGGTTAGGCCGAGTACTTTTCAATCCACCCTCGTAACAAAAATGTTAAGATAAGTATACAGATTTCTTAAAAAAAGGTTTTGGTCTTGGCCCAGGCAATGGATTTTCAAAATCCCCGCATAATAACAATCCCCAAAATCCCCTTAATTTGGGGTATCCCTCACGTGTTGGCAGCACTGAACAGGTGTAAATTGCGAAGCGACACGTGCCAGCCGGGAGGTGGGAGCGCGTGTGTGAAAGGGAAGGGTACAGCGAGCGTGAATACAGTAATACCTATTGCATTGTTTCGCATCGAGCTAGATAAAAAGAGTTCAGCATCCGCGCGTTTTTGACCCCATAACCAGCTGATTTCAGGTTTAATTTTCACTCCTGGTTTATGTTTGGGGATTTTCATAAATTTCTTTAATGAAATTATCGTTTCATTTAGCTGTACTAACATGAAGGAGCGTGAAAAAAGCTAATTAAACGTTATAAAAAATGTTGTTTTTTTTCACCGGGATCGATTTTATTTTCGTACCATCATCAAAGGTATCCTTAGAATTATCCTCTGTCTTCGTTTTCGGGAGCGTTTCAAAAATACATATGATGTTTTGGTATGGTATGGAAGTTGTTGGTGTTGTCATTACGGCAGCCCTCTGTCGTTCTTGCTACCTGCGTGAAACAATAACCTACAATCGCGAGACACCCAGGGTACACGCAGTCGGGGCTAGCGCGTTGTAGGCGATTGAATGTTGATGTGAGTTGAAATGCGAGTTTTTTAACACCGCTTACGTAAATAGTTTTTTGTAAATACTTTGAAATAGTTAAATATATAATAAAAATATAATGGCAGAAAGTCGTTCCTACTATAACTGTTGCCTGGATAGGTGCTAAATGACCAACAAAAGGTTTCTGATATACAGTAAACCCTCGTTAATGCGAACACGGTTAACACGAATTTTGGTTTAAGGCGAACAAAAATTTGCTCTAGACAATAGTTCCATAAACTTCAATGTAATTATGTTCGGTTAAGACGAACCCTCGTTAATCCGAACTTCGAACAACTTTTTTGTCCCTTCACGGTTAATTATCGGATAATTAATTTTATCCGGACGTCTGGCAACGCTAAGCGGGACTATATTTTTTTAAACATATTTAACTTTACATAATTTTGTACAAATTTTTATATAAATTATAATAGAACCAGAATGGTAGCGATTACTTCATCCCAGGGGTTATTTTCGTTCATATATTTTTTAATATTATAATAACCCGTTTAGTACAATTTTTCTTTAATAAATCTTTCATACTTGTTGATTGATAAACAACATTTTTTGGAATTTTGTTGTAAAAGCGTATGCATTGCCCCATCAATGAATTATTAATTTTGTGGAGTCTAGTAACTGGTATAACAAGCTTATGTTTGTCTCTAGGAATGGTATGATAAATGAGCACACAAAATTGGAATTAACAATTTTAGTGCAGCCAATAATTATGCTATTTTTTAGGTTTAGATGTTTTACATTTATCATTGCATTATTTTAGGTTTGCTGATATTGATGACAAGAAGGAATATGATTGGGGAAAAGCGGAAGTAAAGAAAGAAGGGAACAAAACTGAAGTTGAGAAGGAAAAACCAAATTTCGGGCTCTCTGGCAAGCTGACTGCGGATACTAATACAGTGAACGGTGTAGTTATTAAGTACTCTGAGCCGGATGATGCAAAACAACCAAAACGAAGATGGAGGTAAGTTCTTTAAGTTCCAACCATTAAACAAATAATTTTATATTTTTATTAGATATGTGTTTTCTATAGTATTTTTTTATTATGAGTTTTTCAAAAATAGGAGTTACAATATGTTTAAATGGTGCACTGTATGTCATAATGTCTATGATAAAACTAAGATAATTAATGGTAGTACCGATTTACAAATCCAAAAGTTTTATAAAATAACGTGGTTGTAGTAACACTTTTTTAAATTTTAAAGTAATACTGCCAAGTGATAGTGGTGTAAGAAAATCTGTCAGTCCATTGTGCGCCGTGGTTGTCGATAGGTGACTGAGAAATGCCAAAAAACCTTTATAGCCTTCATAAATGGGTATATATACGTCGCGTCAGACGCAAAATATCCAGACTGGCGACAGGCGGTGTCAAAAGTCGAAGATGTCGATATGTCCACCAAACATGACAATTAAGGCAAATTCTTCGTACAATCTTAATATACAAATAGGCTTATCTAATAGTGGACATCTATCAGCTGATGTTGAAATACTCCATATAGCCTTTATAATATGGTTCATTGTACTTTAATTTTGTATTTATCATAAGCATGTTTCAGAAACAAATTAAACTAGCATGATCATCCAAACCGTACACTTATCGATTGTAATACTGTTTTATTTTAGGTTCTATCCGTTTAAGGGCGACAAAGCGTTACCCATTTTGTACATTCATCGACAATCCTGTTTCCTGATCGGTCGAGACAAGAAAGTGGTGGATATCCCGCTGGATCATCCTTCCATAAGCAAGCAACATGCAGCACTTCAGTACAGAGCCACGCCGTTCACCAGGCCCGACGGTTCTCAGGGCAGACGCGTTAGACCATATATTATCGATCTTGGTAAGACTTATTGTTTTTGTTAATCACTATAATATATTGTTTATATCGGTACATTTCGTTTTATATATTAGGACAAAGTTATGCTTATATTTCATTAGCCATATAGTTTGTCTCACTATTTGTAGTTCATGAAAACTATTATGTAATTTTTTTATCGTGAGATGGTTTTTTCATCTTTTATGTATGTAAGTATATGTAATAATATATATTGAGTGTCTGAATAAAATTTTATAGTATTTAAGTTTATTGTGTTTATGGTAATATGTATAATATTAGTCTATTTTTAAGTTTCTTGGCAGTTTTTTTCCTGATTTACTCTATTGGCCATTTTATTTTTTGGCACCTATCACATTATTTTCCACATGACCCGGGTTGACCGGGAGAGAATTCCAAGAGGGATTAAGTCCGCCCTTTGTAATCCTTTTATTAAGGTGCATAAAATGTAAATAAATAAATAAAATAAATGGTGAGTTGAAAAATAAAACGGTAAAAATAGCCACCTGCAGTTCGTAACAGTCTACACACTGCCAGCTATGAGCCTCTCGAATATGGTAGTAGCATTGAAATAAGAAGATTATGTTACTCTTTTTTTACATTTGTAATTTCCACCATAGTCGCGTGCAGAAATATGAACAATGTGAAGATAATAATACCGTTAACCAATATTACCGTTAAATCTTCGCTAGGCGTAAGTTAAACTTTAATTCATAAAAAGTACCCTCCTATATTCACAATATTACATCAACTTCTTTGCCAATTTTTTTTTACCAAAATCCCTTCTTCCGGTTGAGTAACAATGAATGACACAAGTCCAAACATTCACATTTAAAACTTTATAAGGAATTATTTTAAAAGGTAACATTACAATTTATAAATAAAAAATAGTAACATGTATGACTTTCTTTATGATTAAACAAAACATGATCCACAATAGTAAAAGTAAAGTACATACATATAAATTATATGACGCTTAGTTTTGGCTTTCTGAAAAATTGGCACTTAGTACTTGAGAAGCACTTCAATTCCATTCTGAATGGTTGCACTACTCCACGAGGCGTGCAGCAGAAGTATGATTTCCCTGTTCTTCAAGAAAGGCGAAAGCCCAAAATATTACACTATACCTTAATATTGACCAACATGGAGTAATAAGCTATTAATGCAGTTTTATACTGAGGCACCATACATAAATAATAATATTATAAATATGTGATTAGTGCCTAACAATTCACATATAATACCAAAAATCGTGGGTGATAGTTATTGTTTGATACCTCAAGGCCTGTGTTCACTTTGATTAGTGATTAGTGCAAGTGATTAGTAATCTGCGTAGTAAAGTAAATTGAAGCGTATTCTTTTTTTGCGAGTGGACTGAGTATCCACGTCCTGTGCATCCTCCCTTCCCCTCACTTGCAGTATGTACTTTACTAAACACGTCTGGACAACAGTGTTTAGTGTTTATAATTAAATTTAACAATCAAAAACTGAAAACATCTATAAAAAGAAAGTGTCACAAAATATTTGGGAATGCAACTCTTGTAAATGTATTTTTTTTTGTAGTAATATAAATGATCTTGTTCAATAAATGTTTTAAGTTATAAGTAAATGCATAATGTTAACAGAAACAAACAAACTTTTTTTATTCAATATGCATTATAAATAAAACTTCTGGAAAGTCACTTTTTTAATTTACCACTGCTTCAGAAAATAACCTCTGTCCTGGGCAGAACCAGCCAGAAACCCAGCGGGACTTTGAAAAAAAAAACCAATCATATATGTTACAAATAACAACACAGAACAAATTAGAAATAGCTTGGTATCGATCCTTTCCAGGGGTTATTATCATCCATAAATTCCTTAATACTATATACAAATATACTATCCTTAACCTTTTTATACAAACTTATTTTAATAAAGTTATTAATTATAATAAGTATTATAATATCCAAAATTAATTTATTCCCAATTTTGTGACAACCCCCAGCCTAGTATGTTTGCGACGACGCGATGTCATATATAGTGTATATACAATATGTAATGTAATTAACGCACACCCTCAGACACCCCAATTACTATAGTATGTTATAATCATAATACATACACTGAATTTTTAGTTAAACATTTCTATGCACTGATTATTTATCAAATTAGTCATACTTATTCCGGAAGAATGTTGTGGTCACAGTACAAATCCACGAATGCAAAGACTTTAACGTGCTTAAAATAAAGTTCATCATTTTTCTTTATTTTTATTGAATGACAGAATTAGTAATAATACAAATAAAACTGCACTCTTAAAAGTCTTATTGCCTTAAGTTACGGTATGTAGTACTATTATTTCTTCTGTGGTTATGGTCCATTTCAGTTTGTTTTGACTGTACAGATTTAGTGTGACTGTAATTTACGTAGTTTAAATTATTTTTGGGATAAAAAATTACCTATATTAAAAATGATAGGAATCGATTCAGTAAACGATTCTGAACAAACTACTTTCTCAAAGCGCGTTAATTATGTTACGTGTTGTACATACGCGGGCGGCGGCATCGTTTGTTATCTAAGGCGTTTCACAACTGTTAGCTCTTCAAACTGTGGTAGTACCTACTGTGTCTGCCCTACTGTGTGCTTCCCCTTGTTATTAATATTCCGTGTGTATTGAGGCCCCCCCCCCCCACTGGATGCAGTGACGACCTGGTGATACAGGAAGTGGATGGATTCAGATGGCTAAGAAACGTGCTTTGTGGCGTTTCTAGGGGAAGGTGTACATTTAGCACTGGACTTGTGTTGGGCTGTAATGATGACACAAAATTCTCGATTGACGTCACTAAAGCTTCAGGAGTTTATAAATTGTAACTCACGTCGTTTATAATTCTAATAAATTACGATGATATTTTTCTAATAAACCTGGGGATACAAGCTTATTAAACCTTTTTATTTAATGTGGTAAAAAGAGACGAGACAACAATTTAATATTTGAAATAACACTTACGACTTGTGCCCGCTTCAATTCGTATGTTTATCTCTTTACACCTCAACCAATTATATACTGAAAACATCAATAATTTTCATAAATTGCGTTTATAATTTCAATAAATGTAGCCAGAGGTCTATAAAGCCATAAATCCACTTATAATTAGGTGTGTCCTCGATTGTCACTTTTGCATACTAGTTAATAGAGTTAAGAGTTACTTTGCTGAAATCGGTTACATAGATGCATTACTTGCGTTAAAAACTTAAAATACGGTTTCACCCGCACTGTACCCCGGAACATATGAAGTATATTTTATAGAAAATATTTCAATTTTGTCACAGATTCTGCAAATGGAACCTTCGTGAATAACAAGAAAATAGAGCCCCGCCGCTATGTAGAATTACTCGAACGTGATGTCGTTAAATTTGGTTTCTCGCTGCGGGAGTATGTGCTTCTGCATGAGAACAGTAAAGATGACGCACAGGATGACGATAACCAGGAACCGCCTGCTTTGGGTGCTGCCGTTACCACCGCTGATCAGATTAAACAAGAGAAACGCATTAAAGAGGAAATGGTAGCAGATGGTGAATGAACACATACCTTTAATAAAAATGTGGAGAAAAAAACTATAAATCTTCTTTGTTACGTATCTATATATTTATTTACGGGGTCATACATCATTTTGTAGGAGTAAAAGTATACTCATACATTTTAGATCTACAAAATTTAATCTTTTATGAAATAGCTTGCTTTATAGGTTTTTTTTAAATATTCAGGAATAAACAGTGTTAGAAATTATTTTTGTGTTAAATGTAATTATTTCAAAGTTTGTCAAATTTAGAATTATGTTTAATTGACCCAATTAATGGCAAGGCTGAGATTTAACCTTGTTAGAATGTTCGAATTGAGAAATCACTAAGTTTTTATATATTTTGAAACGTTATTAACTTCATTACTATATGCCAAAAAGGTTTACAAACTAACAGAGTAGGCTTATTTGAATAATTGTTGTGACCTGCGATATATTTTAAAACAACCAACTATAAATACATGGTTTAATTGCTGTCAATCCTAAATGTCTATCATAAATCATATACAAGTCACAATAAAGCTCCTTAAGTCTATAGTAATTAATATATTCATTGAATTTTTTGAATCCAACCAAGTTTTTTAGTTTTATCGATCCCAAACAAAGAGATAACATTGTTCTTATCACTTGCATTGTAGATTTTTCCATCGATGTACCTAAAGAATAATTTAAAATAGGATATTAAAAATAAGCTACTGTTACTTGGCTAATTCTATGAAGGTGTAACTGATTATTTAGTATTTGAGCAATTAGTATGTGCAGATATGAGATATTTGTATCTTCGTGTAACGGCATTCTCTATATAGAGATTAATGAAACACAATGTTACTGATATGTATGTTATTTCTTTTGCAACATAGACCTTAAAATGCATATACATCATAGTGGAATAAGGTAACAATAATTAGAAATAACTTAGAAATAAATGCATTACAATATATATATGAACATTATTTACGTTGTACTAACGGCATCTTTACTTCACCTAACCCACAATACAAATTGACTTAGACTATCCTATATGTACAACAAATCCATTTATTTACAGTCATTTAATAAATAATAATTTTAAATAATTAAAAGTCTAATAACAATTTACCGTCGGTGGAATATTTAAGGAAATTTTCTAATATCACAGTTCAAAATGGAGTCTTAAAAATATGTTTGTCGAAGTCTACATCGCGCGAAGAGCTCGGACGAGGTTCTCTTGAGGTACTATCACATAGAGAAGATCTTTTGAGAATGCCGTTCCGTAATGGTATTATGGTGGCGTTGGGTGGTCGCGTGTTCGCCCGTAGCGATTGCGTACGTAGCGAGTGCGTTCGTAGAGGCGGTGCTCGAAGTGAGTGCGTTCTGTACAAGGGGGGCTTGATCAGTCTGTTTGGTGCTACTCCCACTATACTGTGCCTCGAGAATGGCATGTATGTTATGGGAGTTCTTGGTATCTCATAGCCATCACATAGCGTGTCGGCTCCCGAGTCACTGTCGTACATCAGTTCGAGATATTTTGTAGGATGCTGCGGTAAAAGACTTGAAGGCTCCATCTGGTGCTCGGGAAAATCTTCATCTGAAAGTGACAGAAGGATTCTAATAAGATAAGGATGACAAACTATCACACAGTCCTTCTGATGGTAGGCGGTAAGGTGTTTTTCAGTTACATAAAAGTTGATTTTGAGTCCTTGATTTTGGCTTTTTCTAAATGCAAATTCCTGAGTTGCTGACATTGACATTCCTGAATACGTCGTTGACGATTATTTATAATGTTATCAGACAGTATATAATTAATGTTATTTTTAACCCAATTAAGCACTATGATATGAATTGCAATATGTTGAGACTTAATACGAGAACTTGTTATATTCTACATTTTATTAGAAATGCCATAGGGTTATTGTCTTTACAAAATAATATTAATTAGAGAAGCGCCGAGTAGCACTTTTGCCAAGTAACGAGTACCGAGTTTTACTCATATTATAAAATGACAAATATTATAGTTTTTTTTCAACTTTGCTAGACCCCAGATTCAGGATGCGATTTTTTCATCCAGAGAACTATGAATCGATAAGTAATATGCAATTTTTAGAATCAGTAAAAAGAGGTGACATTTCAGAGAGTACTAGCAGCCGTGAAGAAAACGAATCTGAACTATTACGACAGTCATAAGATCCTCATGCATCTTACTGGAATTGCTTCGAAGAATTAGTAGCTTCCACCCAACCACTAGAGCGCGATGATCCTAAAAGCCCCATTGCTTTAGAATTAGATCACTATTTAAAAGAAAATTTGTTGGCACGTTTAGCACGAGTGTTTCTATGTACACCAGCAAGCACCGTGTATAGCGAGCGATTGTTTTCGGAGGCTGGTAACGTCTGCGAAGAAAAAGGAATAGGCTGTTAACCAGAACGTGCCGAGAGCCTTGTGCTCCTGCATCATAATTTACCTTTATTAAATTTTAAATATTGATTTTTTTTCATTAACCTTTTCCTAATTTTGTCTCATTAGTACTCATTCGTTATTATAATTGAGATTGTCAAAGATTTCCCAAATTAATAATAAATACTTTTTGATTAACGCTATTATTTTAATTATATCTATCATCTATCAAGCTATATTGCTTTAATTAAATCGAGTATACTCGGCATTAAAACCGAGTTATTAGAGTTATTCGGCCCGAGTACAAGTATTAAAAAACCCGCCGAGTACATCGAGTACCGGGTATTAACCGAGTACTCGGCCCATTTCTAATATTTATTAAGTAACTTAACCTAACTTTAATGTAAATTGCGCGAAATTAAGTTAAAATTTGAATGAGAGTACTTATAAATATGACTGAAATATGAAGAAGCAAATAACGAACCTACGCAGGCGTTTTCATTCTCGTCCAGCAGGTAGGTGCGGTTGTCGACTGCATCTAAACATGCCGCCATGCGCAATTATTATATAGTAACAGAGGTTAGCAAATAAAACATTATATTAAGATTTAAAATTAGAAACTAAAGCGATGATATAATAAAATAAAAGGCATGCTTTATGGTTTAGTGACGATTATTTAGACATGTTTATTGAAAATGTGAAACGGATGGAATTTCATGTTAAGTGAAATTACGAATACTCCGGTATTCATGGATGGACCTCTTATATTTTACAGATGTTGATATTGAAAAAATAATATTCATAATGCGTCTTTTTAGCGCTCTCATGCTGTTTATTGTTCATGCAATATAAGTTTTTTTTAAAAATAAAACTGAAGTTACAAACTAATTTACTGTAAACCTGATGGCCACTGTAGTCTATGGACACTTGCAGCCAACTTCAAACAGAGGCTACAGATCCGCTGTCACCTCTGAGTTCAGTGGCCTGTTACAAGTGTCAGACTGAAACAAAGCAGTGCCAGCACTGCTCTTTGACGGCAGAATAGGAAAGAAGGTGGTACGGGAACGGTAGGTATTATTAAAGAGGGTGACTTTCAGACAGGTTTCTAGGCAGAAAAGGTCCTAAAATCTAGTATATCATTATTTTTAATTTGTACAAATTATAATAGTACATTGATTTATTGCAATTACGGCTTAATATAGCAGATAATTGATGAAAATGATTTTGAATTATAAATCAAATGTTTAAAATCCTATTAAAATGTTCACGGGGCGGGTCATATTAAATTGTGTGAAATACATACGTAGGTATATATCGTAATTTGGTTTTTACATTCGTGTAGGTTATATTTACAGGCGATCAAAAGGGTGCACTATTAAAGTAGGATAATGTTTAAATTGGCACCGTGAGTGCTTACCGTCGGGCAGCAGCGTGAGATAGTGGGCGGGCGCGAGGGGAGCGGGCGGCGCGGCGAGCGGCGCGCGCGGTGCCGTGGCATCGCGCAGCGCCGTCACCACGTCCAGGCACTGCCGGAACGATGGCCGCGCGTCTGCGTTGTAGCTCCAGCACTTCTGTAGCAACTCGTACCTGTTAACGTTTTAATTTTTTTTAATAAACATATATGTATATATCTGTCACGTTCGTTATTTCCGACGGAGTAGGCAGTCCAAATATTAGCGAGCCACTCGGACACGTCTTCAAATCTGGGTGGGACCTGTGTAGTGGACACTATCTGGTATATATAGTACGTGCCAAATCGATTGAGAAAAACGGACATTGACCTTTCGGTCGTTTAACCAGGGGCTACAAACCTTCAATATATAGGCACTTTTTATATGTAGTACTTTCTTTATTTATAATGATTTTTTTATTATTTTTTATAATTATTGATATAATAAATATTTATTAACTATTATTAAAAAGTTATGTAAAAGATCACTGTAGAAGAAAAATCATCTATTTTTATAAAGTACTTTATTCATTTAACAACAAAAATCATTAATTTATAACACGTATAAAGATTCGAGTGATACCGAATAAGTACGTACTTATTCAAAAGATAAAACTTTATTTTCAATATTATATAAGAACTTTATTTTTATTCGGTGCATGCGGGCCGGCCCATAAAAAGTGACGCATCTCTGGCTGCCGTTGTAACGTTTCTTTTAGAACGAATTGATGTAACGCGCGTTTTGTTTATTTTAAAGGGATGAATTTGCAAAAGCTCAATATGGTGATTATATTGTTTCAAATATTTTTTTTTAAATATGAAACTGTTTTTAAATGAATTGCTGCGTTACTTACAATCAATTGAAATATAAAATATAGCACAATTTTTGCGTTGTACCGTAAAGTTTTACGATGTTTATAGGAACCACAGACAATATTATTTAAGAAACAAAAAACAAAACATATGTGCTGACCTAGAAGTGTGAATAATATCAATATTTTAATATTGTTATCACATCTAAATTGAGATTTTGTAAGTAACACCTTTTGACACTCGGCTCATATCTGAGTTCATCGTCCATTTTTCTCAATCGATTTGGCACGAACTATAGTGTAGTATGGTAGCGGCATCCATCGCGCACAATGAGTAACAGTTTAAACTCAACGCAATAAATTCATTT